TCCATTTCCATACCACTTATTTGTGAGCACTTATCAGCACTTTCTAAGCAGTTTATAATCTGTAAGCCAATTGGCCCCAACAAGCTGGGTACTCATTTTACCGATCTACAAAAGGATGGAAGACAGAGTCAACCCTGGAACCTTGGGATCAAACTCACAATCTTATGGCTGCAGTACCGGCATTTAACCACTGTGCCACCAGGGCTCCCTGATAAACATGGTCAGTACAAGATGCCCACCCAACCTCTATTGAAAGAACTCCAAAGAAGGAGACTTCACCACCCTCCAAGGCAATCTAAGATGTGTGTAGGCATGTCTTATGCATATTCGTATGACATTTTTTGCCTGAGATGAAGCCACTGATTTGTGACAGTTGAACCTTGTTACAACTAAAATATACTGCTGTTCACTGCCTACCCAGTTTGCAAATTATCTTCCATCTATGCTAACAAAGTGGCAGAGAGGTAGATGGCAGGCAGAGACTGACTACCAGACATGTGGGATGTGATTTAGATAATCTTTTCTACAGTTACCCTACCACCATTAAATGGAGAGAAATGTATGAGACTTGCATACTCTATGGAGTCCTTATCTATAGACTCTGCTTATGAAATATGACTAGTTTTCATGTCCATAACTTTTATTGTTTTTTTATCTTTGACAAACTCTGAAATAGTACACTGGTGACATTTTTTTGTAAAAAATAAAATAAAATTAGCTGCCTACATTTAAAGACCACTCATCATATTCATCTATCATTGTTTTTGAAATGTCACATTGATTTTATCCCTTTTGCAATAAATGGTTACATCCAGGGGGAAAAAGGAAAGAAAGAAAAAGAGAGAGAAAGAAATAATGACCTGACACTTCAAAATCAGCTGCCACTCTCTGCAGGAGCAAAAATAAATAAAAGGACAATTTTCTTGAAGGACAGGGGAAGAGAGGGGTGGGGGAATAGAACCAGGGTGAAAAATAAAGCTTTATCTGCTTTCTGGCAATATTAATGACAGTTCAGAGTTATCAGAAATTATAACTTTTCTTTTCTTTTCTTTTCTTTACAAAAAAAATATATGTGGTATGAATTATAATGGCAGCAAACTAGTACATTTCTGAAATGGAGACCATAGATTTTGGTGGAAGAAGGACAGGAAGCAACAAGGCCTTCCACAGTTAGGCTTATATAAGGATGTAATTCTTTACTAATCTTGTTACTGAAGGAAACAATGAATATGTTTTAGCCATTTTCCTCCCACTGTGAGAATTCTTCAAAAAACTGTGGAGTTAAAAAAACATATTTGCAATTTAGGACTTATTTTGTACAAAGTTTGCATATGGATTTGGGGGTAGAAGGAACAGAAAATCTACATTTTCTGTCAGGAAACTATATTATTCTCTGCCAAATATACTCATTTTACAAAGAAAATAGCACTTTCTGCACAGAATAATTCGAGAAGTGCAAAGACTCTTCTCAGTCCAGGATTATGTTTGTTAGGCTTTCCTGACACTTGAAGAAATACATTTTCAACTATATTCCCAAGTATTCTTTCCATACCTAAGCATGATGGCCAAATTAATACTGTAGTGATGTGCTTTAATAGGGTGACTTTATTGTATTACAAAAGCTGAAAAGACACATTTGGATACAAAAGACACATTTGGATCTAGTCTTGGTTCATTGTAAGGAGGCAAAATATCTCAGCAGTTTGTTGTTGTGGGGGGAAGACAGGATAATATTTTCTGGTATTCATGGGTACTGACACACTTCTGCCAGCAGGTATTGGCAAGCAACTACCATTTTGAATTCCTTGTCAGAGCAGCAATCTGTCAACTTATAACGTCTATTTTGGGGACTCTAGGACAAAACAATGGTGGCTACCATGTGATGCATTCAAGCAGAAGAAATGGATATTCATGATCTTTGTGGCCCTGTCTGCAGGACCATATAAGTTGGCCTCCATCCATCTGCTTGGACAATGTGCAGCCCAATCTCTGAGCCTGGCATGATCAAACTGGATGACATCCAGCCCAACCAGTGCTAAACCTGGGATATACCCCTCTTAAAATGAGGTTTAAAAAGTCCCAGTGTGCTCCAGATCTTTCCAGAAGACCCAGAGCCCTCTATTATGATGCCAGGTAACTGTTCACACATGTATCCCACTGTGCAACCCAGCATGACTGTTGCCATTGGTCACTTGCTCTGAGGTCAGCCTGAGGAACCTAGCATGTGACTGAGGTTGGGCACCTCATTTTGACCTCAGAGTGAAGTGACTCACAACAACTGTGGATGCTCAGGGTGCCACAGTGGGATATGTACATGAAAAGCCATATAGCATTGGAACAGAAGGTTAGGTAACAGGGGTAGATCAGGACTGCTCTGGGTACCAGATATTTTGGGCTACTTTGAAGTATCCTCACTAGTGCAGACAGGATCCAAATTTTCTAATCAGTCCCTGTGTTATCTCAGAGGTAATTCTGGCATAGTGGTGAGCAAAAGAAGGCACAAATGTAAGTTTGCCAGGGAGGAGAGGAGAGGAAAGGTACACCATAGGATACTGCAGAAGGTTTGTTTTCCTAATGTCATCATAAGAAATACATTTTCCCCATATTTTAAGGAGCTTCTTTCAGTACTTCATCAAATCCCCTTCTTTTGAAGCTGTCACGATCCTCTTGACACTGATCCTCTCTACCCTGTTAAATCTTGGTTCCCTTCCTAATCTGCAGCCTCACAGCTCTTAGCCAAGTGTCACCCAACAGCACACACCACATGATTGAGAGTCCGTGCTACAGCCAACATACAGCTCCCAATGATGTGGGGAAACTGTTCACTTGATAGATAATAGTTTTATTTTGGACCGTCTTAATCACCCTGCACCTGCTTGGTGCTTGATATGAACAGATAAGTAGCATCAAGAGACAGATAAAACTTGATGGGTGCCATTTTTTTTCATTTGTTTGCTTATAATATTTAGGGTGGGCTTCCCCCTCCCTTCCTGCTTATTGTTTCCCTTTTAATCTGCTGTCAGAGATGAAAATGAAGTCTTTGAATGCACAGAACAAATATGAATTTCAGTGATATTCTAGAAGATGATTTTTAAAAAAAAAGAAAGAAAAGAAAAGAAAGGAATTTCTTGAGGAGAAGCAGGAGCTTGACCTTAAGGATATGTCCTCTTCATGAGGGGAAAGGTAAATTACATTTGCAAGGCACAAATATCCTTGTAAATGATGCATAATTGTCCTGTGATTATATGGCTATGGCCGCACATTGTCAACAAAACAATTATTCTGCAGCCCAATCACTTTGGACTTACAGGGCATGATGATTAGCAAAAGAAAGCTCTGGAGCCAAGGGAAAGACAGGGAGCTCCTTCAGCACACCTCAAGGGCAATTAGTTTACATAATGGCAACCTGACAAATACTGACAAAAATGAGTGATGAGAATGGATTTGGGGAAGATACATAATGACATGCTTTGATTATGGACACAAGTTAAATAATTGTTTGGGAAAGCCTATCCATTTTTGCAGAGAAATAAGTCCCATTGTGTTCAGTGGGGCTTTATCTAAGATATGTGCAAGTTATGGCTTTCAGATATTATGCCTGTCTGAGTCTATGGCCCAGACCCTTCTTTTCCAGTCCTTAGAGCAAGGGGAGGAAACTCAAGTTGAGAGCACTTCCTTAAAATGTGTGTAGGTATATTTTCTATATTTGTTAGACTTTTTTTTAGGTTCAATAGCATACTGTATGTACCTTAGTTGTGGTTGACTTTTAATGCATCCTGCTTAATGAGATCAGTAGAGGCTGTCTTTTCAAATATTGCACTTGTAGGCCCAATCACTGTGCCATCACAAAAGGTCTTAGGCTTTGTTTCTAAAATCTCAGGATATAAGATTGTCCTATCTTCGCAACTCTAGCTAAGCCTAAAATCCCATGCACACAAACCTATACATTCTTACCTGGGAATAAAGAATATAGAGGGCTTTATTTCTCTATAAATATTTCACATTGTTTTGTAATACTGCAAAGCTTGTGAGAAGAATCTTCTGTGGAACTTCATAATGAATAATGACACATTCCCCCCCCCCAAAAAAAAATTGGACTTTAAAGGGCTGAATGCCTGTGTTTTCTGGGGCCTCACATTGTCCATTTCAGATGATGCAGTCCACAACCCTGGGGCCAGGATTGGCCTGATCCTGGTAGATTGGACAAAGATCAGGTGGATCCAGCCCAATCATGGGGTAAACAGCCTATACTGTGGATTAATTTGACCCATGGTTTGTTGCAGTTTCCTGGGAGATCCACAGCAAACCCTAGCTGTTTACATGGTTCCCATGCTCCTTACCTTCATGTGCTGTTGCTGAGAAGCCCTCAGTTGCTGCATCTGACACAGAAACTGGGTCTCTAGCCATGTGGATGCAGTCAGGAGCCTCATTTCTACATCAATAGGAGGCTTCTCAGTACAAGTGACAGCACAGCAGGGTAAAGAGTGTGCACCAGTGGTGGGTCCCTGGTGGGCATGGAGACAGCTGTCTAAACACCCGACCATCCCCATACTGACCTGGGGACTGACCCAGGGGAGCACCAGGGCCAGAATAGAATGGGCTGGGCCCATAATATCCTGCCTGTCTACTCAATCCACCCAAGTCCCTAAGACTCTCACTCTTCATTTCATTTAGAGCTGTCACAGAAAATCTACTAGAAAACAAATTTTGAAGCTAATTTGGTGTTTTCTTCTTATAGTAAAATAATAGACTGAGATCAAATGGCTATGCCCTCATAGAGAAAGAAGAAGAGGTAATCCCATCTCCACCATGCCTAGACCAAGAAACAGATGAAAGAGTTTCCATCCACCCCCTATGCCTGATCTCAGCTTGAAAGGAGAGAAGCACCAACAGTATCTGCTGGACCTAATACCCTTCCCTGCTGCCTTTCCTTTTATCTTGTGTGTCTTATCTTATTAGGTTGTAAGCTTGAGGGCTGGGAACTTTCAAATTCACAATTTGTGAATGTGGTGTAGTGGTTTTAGTGTTAGACTCTGACTCTAAAAACCAGGGTTCGATTCATTGCTCAGCCATAAAAATTCACTGGGTGACCTTGAGCATATCACACGCTTTCAGCCTTAGAGAAAGGATATCGCAAACCTTCTCTGAACATATCTTGCCAAGAAAACCCCATGATAGATTCACATTAGGGTCTCCATAAGTTGGAAATGACTTGAAGACACCCAACAACAACAAAAGCTGCTCTCAGAGCTGTTATGGTTGAAGAATGGGGTATAAATCATTAAAATAAATAAAAATAATTAAATAAATAAAGGCCTGAGTACATAAATAAAGGGATGGGTGAGAGATAATGAGTAGATACTAAATCCTGGCAAGACAGAGATCTCGTGGTTGTGTCTTGAATTAATGGGAGTGACCAACAACTTCTCCTGGTTAAGGATGGTCTCCCTGTAGAAGAAGAGTTTCATAATCCGGGATTCATATCTGTCACTTGAGGCCCAAATGTCCTCATTATCTAGCAATATCTTCTGCCAACTTTGTCTTCTATGCCAGCTATATTCCTGGACAGAGATAACCATGACATAGTACTGGAAATTTCAAAACTAGACTATTGTTCTGTTATTGATCTGAGACGGCCTTTGAGGATGGCCAAGAATTTGCTGTTGCCACAATATGTAGCAAGTCAGCTGGTGTGGGAATAATTGCCTGGGGAATTTTGGGAACTGTAGTCAAAGAAGTATCTTTTCCAATCTCTGTTACCCATATACTCAACTACTGAAAGAAATTTGCTTATTGACTATATACCACAGTAACTATTTTTTTTTAATATTGGAGTTCAAGACTTAAGCCACTTAATGCCAGGTTATCTGAGAGCTTACCTCATCAAAAGCAATGGAATTAAAAGCAGAAGTACCAAATGAAATGGTGGTAAAATCAATGGAAAGCTTATTGAATAGAATAGTTTGAAGGGCAAGACTCCAAACCCTTCTTTTCTCTTCCCTGCTTTATTAATTGAGTCCATACTTTTGCACTTTGAACTCAGTTTGCAGCCAAGTACTTATTTCCTTACCTCTGTGTTCCTGACTATGTGGTGTCCCACCCACAGGACTTTATGTCTTCCTTCTTTTCTTTCTGTCCTTCAGGTGCCATGCACTGAAAATCAAATGGAAATATTGCTAGGCAACCCACAGGCAATGACCTCTGCACTGTGTGTGCAGTTGTTTATTGCTACTTCAGTGACAAAAATAATTACACCTCATGGTCTCCCCAACCTCCCCAAGATCAAATAATTTGATTTTTTGCAATAGTTTGAACCAAAATGTTCCTGAATGCCCTCAGGTGGCATGAGGTCATTTTTATCACATTTTGCCCCATAAGGGCATTTTATATCCAGGAGAGGCCTTTTTAGAACAGGACACTAAGCATACTCTTCAACTGTTCCAATGTCTGATTAATCCTCTGCTATCCCACGTTTTCAGCTGCTTTTAAAAGGCCCTGTGTTCTCTCTCTTTCTCTCACTTTCCCATTTTATCTTCAGCTTACTTCAATTGCTGCAAGCTGAGTTCAAAGTGCAGTAAGAGTTTGCACTCAGTTAACTCAGCAGGGAGAGAAAGAGGGAGGAATCTTGCCCTTTCTGGTAGGTTCAGGCAAAAGCAAACTGCTGCAGCATCTCCTAGTTTGGGTGTTCATCTTCATTTATAACTTTTGCCATTTTGACCACACTCTGATGGTGCTTTGTAACACATATCCCAGTTTTCATTGATGAAATGTTGAAGAGTCTGCAGTAAGTGAATTCCAGATCACTTCCTGGTTTTCAAAAAGAGTCAAAACATAGGTAAAGCCAACTAATTCCATGGTGCTAATCCAGACAGATTAGCAATCAAATTTAGGCCTGTATGAAAGCCATTCCCTAGGTATCTTTCCTAAATCACTTTTTTATATTGGAAAGATAGTGCAGACCATAAAGTCATAATCAAAATGATAATTCACATATCAAAGCTTGATGAAATATAGGCAGAGGGGATTTCACTCTTTGATACAAGGCAAATGGAGAATTAACTGCTTATCGTCTGGTCATCAACTGAATAGTGAACTGCAAGGGTTGCTTCAGAAGATGACCTTTTAGAAATGTCATAGATTCTGACCTTTATACTGAAAAATATAATATTGTAGAATGGGGGTAAGTAAACAACTAGCAAGCCAGGAGCTCTATTCAGGGCCTCTGGACTTGGCGGTTTCCAAATCATTGAGTATGATATGGGTCTCCTGATTTTATTCTAAACTTCAAATGAGATACGCAAGATGCTGAGCCTATTTTGGGGATCTGGATTAGCACCCTGGATAGCTCTTTAAATTCTGGGTGGAAATTCAAAGCAGATTCACTGCTTCATTGATTTGGAAATCACCGCCTGCCACTGACATGATTCCAAATGTGAAGGACACCTTCCCTTTATTATGCACCTCTGCAGATTTTCTTGGAGATAATGAGAAATGATTTTGTAATTTCCAGAGGCAAAGCTGAAGTTGGTTGGTTTGTGATGTGAAGTTACCCCACAGTTGCTGAAAGTTCACTTGAGAAGGGATGTCTTCTTCCATCCACCCTCCCTGAGATGTTTATTTATTTATTTATTTATTTGATTGGGGCTTTGTAATTTGAATAGCAGTTGTTGTTGTTGTTGTTGCTGTTGTTGGTATCTGAGCATTTCCACAATTTTTTTTGGCTTACAAACTATTAAAATGTGGGTTTTAGAATTTTACAGAACATTAAAAGTGACTTACTGTACATTAAAGCCAAAAGTAATTAAAAACTATTATAGATTTAAAGAGTTAGTAAAATACATACAATTTTTTTAAAATGTGGTTAGGCTACCTATAGAATTAAAACCATTTAAATAATTTGTTCAAAGAAAGAATATATGCATGCATATATGTATATGAAACAACATATGATTAGAAACCTATTGGTGTCCATTTGTAAAAAAAAACCCTTTACATTATTTAAACTATTGCATATTTTTAGTTTTATTATATTTTATAATACCTTTGAGCTATGTGTATAAAGTGTATATGAAACACTGTAAATGAATTTTGTGTTAGACTTGAGTCCCATCTCCAAGATATCTCATTATGTACATATGTGTAAATACAGGTATTTCAAAATCTGAAAAAATCCAAAATCCAAAAAAGTTCTGGTCTCAAGCATTTTGGGTAAGGGAAAGTTAGCCTATACTTTCCAGAAACAATATGTACTTTTGCAGAACATTCCTGTCATTTGAGAAAATCTGCACTAAGAGTGGTGTGCATGGACATTGCACATGTAATGTCTTAGAATAATAGAATTAGAGAACTGGAATAAGCCTCCAGTCCAACACTCTGATCATTACAGGATCTATTGTTCATTTAAAATCTACCCTCTTATAACTTAAAACCTTTAAGCCTGGTTCTATTCTCTGGGGAGATTATCCCATGGAAGATAAGAATGGGAGTGAAGTAGATCATTCCCATTCTTATGCTATTCTTATTATGCAATCACACGAAAAGATTATCAGATGACGTCACACTTATCCTGTCATTATCCTGTCCCTGAAGTGGAATTGAATACTTCCTTTATTGAGAAATTGAATACTTCCTTTATTATTCCACTTCATTGATGGGATAATGATGGGATAAGCATGAAATCATCTGACAATCTTTTAATAAATGTGCAATAAGGATGGGAATGATCTGCTTTGCTACCATCCTTTTCCCCCATGTGATAAACTCCTTGGGCAGGAGAGAACAGCTCTGCACTCTCTTCTCTGTGACAGCCCTTGAGATGTTTAAAGAGGGCAATCATATCACCTCTCAGCCTTTTCACCAAGCTGAATATGCCCAGCTCTTTTAAGCTTTCCTCATATGTTTTGTTCTCCATACATCTTATCCTAGTTGCCCTTTTCTGAACCGAGTTCAACATGTCTATATGAGGCCTGACTAGTGCAGTATATAGGAGGACTATTCCTTCCCTTGACTTGGAAACTGTATTTCTATTAATTTAGGCTAACATGGCATTGACCTTCTTTGTTGTGGCATCACACTGCTGACTCATGTTAAACCTATGAGCAACAATAACTCCAAGGTTCTTTTTGCATGTAGTACTACTAAGTCATGTATCCCCCATCCTCTAACTCAAAGTTTGGGTCTTGTGATCTAATTGTAGAAATTTGTGTTTACTTCTATTGAATTGTTTTATTAATTTCTGCCCAATTTTCTAGTTTATCTAGATCCTTTTCAATGCTGTGCCTATCTTCCAATATGTCAGCTACACCTCCCAGTTTTGTTTAATCTGAAAACTTGACGAGGATTTGCTTTACCCCATCATCTAAGTAATTGATAAAAAAAATTAAGAGTGGTGACCCCAGGCCAGATTGCTTCAGCACTCCAGTTTGAAGCCCAGCCATTGATTGTAATCTTTTGAACTTGATTTTTCTATCTATTATGGGTCCATCTGGTGGATTTCTATTCCATATTTAATTTCTAATCAAAGATATTATGTGGGACCTTATCAATGCTTTCCTGAAATCCAGATAAATGACACCGTAGCATTCCCATAATCTATTTGACAAATCTATACTGGCTTCTGCTGGTCACTGCACTGGAAGACTTATAATGCATAAAATAGTTTTTCATGTAGGAAATACAGTTGCCCCTCTGTTCTAGTGGACTTTAAGTCTGCACTTTTACATATTCACAGAGGGGCAACCTCTACTTAAATCAATGGGGCATACCCCCATGGGCGCACCCTATTGAAGCCTATGGGGCTTGAATAGGGGATGTCCCCATGGGAATTGAATACTTGCTAATCTCCTTTTTCATGGGGTGTGTGTGTCCAGAATGGATCCCCATGAAAACAGAGGGCCAACTGTAATGTGGGAATAAAATGTGTTCCAAATGTGGAAATAAAATGTATTGTGGTTGACCATTTTCTCAATGGCAAATTTCTTATTTAATCTTTCTTTTCTGTTGTGGGTGAGACAAACTGGGTGAGCATTCATTATATTCCTTGATCAAAAGTAGTTTCTTGTTACCTTTCCTC